CCCCCTCCTCTCCACTTATAAAAGGAGGCTCCCTCCTCCTCATTTGAACAACACACAGGAGAAGAGCACCAAAGAGAAAGAGAAGAGCAACACCACTCCATGGGCTGAAGAGGAGGGTCGTGGCGTGGCTCAGGAGGAGGAAGACGCAGCCAGATCCAACTCGACGCGGCAGGTTCCAGCCCCCAGTCCGGTAAAGCCATAGGAGGTACTGGTGCACCACACCCCACGCCGAAATCCCTCGTCTCCTCCAAGGTGATAGTACGGTGGACGACCTTCCCATCGCGTAACCGGAGTCTTCCTGGTATACCTCGGTGTGGGCCTAACATCGCTGGCCACCGGGAGGACTAATCGAAGTCAGAGTAGGAGAGAAGGGGGCAGAAACCTAGGTTCCTTGTAAAATTGTAATTACACCTGATTTGGCCGTAGCGGGCTCTGTTTTTTTTAATGGCTCAGTACTTCAAGCGCACACACCTTATGCGCAAGCTAGAACTACACCTATACCTAACCCAACAAAAATGGTGGAATTCTCCTAGTGTTTCTAAGTAGTAGTAAAACACTACCATTAGTCATAGCAAATGGGAATCCTCACTAGGAGGCATTTGGTAGGGAAAGTTTATACTAAATTTTGAATACTAAAACACTAGGAGAATCCCACCTCCCTAGGAGAAGTAGAAAATTCTGGTTGTGTAAAGACACACATGCGACTGAGAGGTACTTGAAGATTATCATACTCCAAGCGTGACGGACACAACACCTTAACCTTTGTGGAGCATCCGGCTTGAGGCCGCAATTCCGCAAAGGAAAAAAAAAAAAATCTGGTGCAAAAACCGCGTCGAAAGCGGCTCGACGGGGGGCGATGGCGCCCTCAGTGTGCCTCACCAATCTGAACCACCGGCTCGTTCGCAGGTCGTGGGCTCTCTTAAGGAATATTATTTGTTATCTCCCACTCTCCGAGAGGAAGAAGGTCGGCTTTCGCTGTTCGGAGGTCGGTTGGTGCGTTGGGCCTTTTGGCCCAATAGGCTAGCGGACGCCTTGCCAGGCTACTACTATATCCGATACGTCTGCCTGGACGCTCTTGGGTGGGCCGCGACACTAGCCCAACTATCCCTCTCATCCGCTTAGGAGTTTCTTAAGTCTGCTTCGGCCGGTTCGTGGATTCATCCCTAGAATCATTCCAACTAGGATTGCTATGCAACTAATATAGCCAGTGTTTACCAGGAATAATTCTTTCCCACAACCATCTCTAACTGAATGAGCTCTCAAAAAACCTCTCGTCCAGTCCTATCCTCTCGTACGCTAGTTCCTGCTGAGCAACGCATCTTTTCGGACAACCCTGCCACCACAAGGTCGCAGCAGGATGCTCTCTCTTCCCCGCTCCCTCCCTAGCATGAAACGACTGCTCCGACGTCTCTCTCGCGTGTCCAGCCCCTTCCCACACTGCTCCTTCCCACAAGGCACCCAGCCCCTTCTCGCGCTGCTCGACGCATCGCGCGTCGTGCCCCCATCCACCTTGCCATCGCGGAAGGTGAGGCATGGGAGGCCTGCGCCTGCGACGGGGGAGGTCTATGCCTGCACCTGCACCTGCACTCCTATCCACCTCGCGCTGTCAGCAGGAAGGAGAGGCCTACGCCACCGCAGTTCTCCACTAGGTAGGTCATGGCCGGTGGCGACATTGTGTTTTTAGGTGTTTTCAAACATGTTGAAAGCCTATGTTTCAAGTGTTTCAGTTATTTCAGATGTATATTTCAAGTGATTTATATGGTTGTTGTAAAAGTAGATCAGGATGTTGCATATGTTGCAGTGGTTGTACGCGTATGTTGCAAGCGTCTATTTCCAATGTTGCATTCTTTTTTTCATATGTATATTGCAAGTGTGTTTATCTGGATGTTGCATATGTTTCACACATGTGTTGCAATTATTTTACCTGGATGTTGCGTATGTTTATAATAGTTTTCAAGTGCTTCGGACGTATGTTGCAAGTGTTTCCACTGTTTTTGCCGTATGTTGCATGTGTTTCATCTGGATGTAAAAGTAGATCAGGATGTTGCACATGCTGCGAGCAGACGCGGGAAGCAGGTGCAGGTGGAAGCGTCCCCACCTGCGCGCGGAAAGCGATGGAGTGGCACGGACGAGCAGGCAGGCTACCGAGCAAGCGGGCGAGCAGCGCAGCAGGCCAGCAGCCGCGGGCGTCCGGGAGCTAGGACGTGAGTCAGGCTGCTACCGCCACGCCGCTCGCCGCAGCTGCCCACGTGCGCTGCTCCCTCCTCGCTGCCGCACGGTCAGAGCCGTCTTGCCGGCTGGTCGTGCCGCCGCGCGCGCCCCCTACTCGAGCAGTGTGGCCACCGCGCCTCCTGCACGTGCCGTCGCGCGGTCACAGCCGCCTGGTCGCGCCCCCTGTTCGAGCGGTGCGGCCACCACGCCTCCTGCATGCGTCGCCACCGCAAGATAGGAAGGTTAGCAAGGCTAAGGTTGGGACTTCTTGGGTCACTGGAGTCTGGAGTACCGGAGAATGGCTGAGTGGTGTGGGCCGGTGACTATTTGAATGTTGATGGCGCCCAGATTCTGCATCTGAGAACGCTGCGGCGACCACAAAGAACAAATGTTGTGACGATCACTGAATTTATAAACTGGGTTCAGTTTTCTAGTTTAACTAAACTGAAGAACACCCCACACGTTACATTGAGGTTTGCTTAGACATAAAATTCACTACCACAGATTTGATTTTAGGAGACAGATGGTTAGATTAAGAGAGACGGAAAAAAAGGAACACCGCCTTCAGAAATGGAGAGGGGCGCTAGGGCCTCGAGGCAAGGCCCGCCTTTATTAACACTCAATGAACAGAAGTGGCCACGTCACAATAATCGCCTCTCTGTTAATGTATTATGTGAGAGTTAGTTGTTGTAACACTAACACGACCACCGCATGTTAACAGAGGCTCCTCTCTATTAATGCATAACAGAGAGGCTCTCTATTATTGCAACTATATCGAGATTAATTATCCACTTTGTCACTCAGCTTTTCAGAAATATTAAGCATTATATTCACAAAACCGGATTAAAAAGCAAATAAAATATCTAGGACTTCAATGGGGACGATAAACTACTACAAATATATTTGCTTGAATTTTTAACCGTTATTTCCATGAAGAACTCTAGTACATAGTGGCAGGACAGTCATTTATCCACCCATATGTAATTGTTCATCTAAATTATGGTTTGAGGCAGCGTTCAAACTTTCAGTTAAACTAATTTTGTGAATTCAGTGTTTCTTTTTGAATCTAAACAAAATAATTAGTAGTAAACGATTTTGATAAATTAAATTGCTTTCCTATTTTTTTAGTTAGACATTCATAGGTGAACATTTATCAACGTGTAGTGTAGTCTTAAAAAGTCTCCCTTTGCAAGAGATCTTAGGTTGCATCAGGGGCGGATCCAACGGTGGGGTGGGGGGCTCGAGCCCCCCCTACCCGTACCGGAGCAGTGGAACCCCTCTGGAGCCCCTATGAATTTTTAGGCAAAGTTCTATAGTGTAGGTGGGGCTGAGACTTAGGATCGAGCAGCAGTAGGAGGTATGTGTTGTTCAGCCCCCCTAAAATTTTTCCTAGATCCACCGCTGGGTTGCATGGTTGGTTGTATAGTTGGGTGTTTTTTTTCTTTTTGCTCATATATTATACCTGATCGGTATAGTTACTTCGTGTTGGCTGCTGCTGTTTTACTTTAGTTTTGTGGCTCTGCGGCTACTCCCTCTCCCAAAATAAATGCATCTTACACTTTGAGGAGTCAAACAAACTTAAGTTTGACCAAATCTATACGAAAAAATAATAAGATTTGTAATATCAAATAATCATCAATACATTAATCACATCATATATTTTTACACTAATCAACTTTACTTTAGAGATACAAATTTTAATACTATTTTGTTTATAAATCTGATCAAACTTAAGATTGTTCGACTCCCGAAGTGCATTATGAGACGGAAAGAGTATAGTCTACAGTGCTTCTGCAGTAGCACAACCAAGCAGTGCCGTCGTTCAAACTTTTGGCCTGCAAGTCATGTCGTGACTTCCGATTACAGGTCTTGTTCGTTCGGCTGAAATTTGGCTTATGCTAATTTATTGCTGGACAGGCATTCTAGACTTTCGAAATCTTGAATCTGCCTGAAAATCGGAAGGAGCTTCTTCAAATTCAGTGATTTTACTACTGGAGAAAAAAAAAGCACGGAATTGGAAATCTTGGTTGTCTGGTTGAGAATCGAGATAGGAGGAAAGGACCCAAGGTTGGTGCACAAGGAAGTGTCCGGGCCGTGCACGGTTTCCTTTCTTGGAAAACCGAAGCCACAAGCTTCGCGAAAACTTGCGCAAATGGTCCAACCTGCTGCTGCCGGCGTGCACGCTTCAGACCTTTTTAGGCACGTTTAGTTCTAAAATCAAATTCCCAAAAAGTGCTATAGTAGCCATTATATCGAATCTTGCGATACGTGCATGGACCATTAAATGTAGACAAAAAAAACTTATTATACAGCTTGGTTGGAAATCGCGAGACGAACGTTTTGAGCCTAATTATTCCATGATTGAACACTAATTACCAAATAAAAAGAAAAGTGCTACAATAACAGATTCTCAAATTTACCCAGCTAAACACAGCCTTATTTTATTTCACAGAAGAAACTCCAGCTCCCTAAGGGCCGGCCGGCCGCCCACGTGTCCCACCCACCGCCTCCCGTGCTGCCGCAGGCCGCAGCCCCGTCCGCGTCCGGCCGTCCCCGCGCTCCTCCACACGCCACCACTTCCTCCGTCCCCAGCCGCACGAGCTCTCCGCGGGATCCCGGCCCTCCATTCCGCTTCGAGGCCGACACGACGGCCAGATCCCGCCCGCACCGCCGCCAAGGCCAAGCCAGCCCGGTCCTCCGACTTGGCCTCTCCTCCGCCTAACAACGCCTCGCGGGCCCTCGACGCGCACGAAACCGACGACGACCCAGTCCAGTCCAGCCCCGCCGCGATGGCCATGGCCGTGATCCGCCTAGCGCGCCCCGCCGCCATGCGCCCGCCGTCGGCCGCCGCCGCGTCCCCGTCGCTACGGCCACGGCTGCGCCGCCTCCGCGTCGTGAGGTGCCGCGCCGGCGGGGAGGGAGGGAAGGGGGAGGAGGAGGGCGAGGCAGAGGCGCCCGAGTCGCTCTTCGCCAGGGAGCTCCGGCGGCGCGGGATGGCGCCGGGGGCCGCCGCTACGCCCGCCGCGGGCGCTAATAAGGAGGCGGAGGAGGGGGCGCCCGAGACCGGGGCCAAGCGCCGGGTGGCGGCCGCCGAGTTCGAGCGCGGCGCCGCGGCCGACGGCCAGCGGGAGCGGTCCATGGCGCTCAACAGCGAGGGCCTCGAGGTGCGCTTGCCGTCCCTGCTCTCTTTCTCATTCCTTCTCTCTCGCGCGCGCCATTTTGATCCACATAGTTGGCTTTTCCTGAGCTGGAAGACCATTCTTTGGTAGCACGGCCATGTTGGATGCGACAAGAATTGGATATGGTGTTGTGCTAGTAATTGAACAATGCAAACGTGAGGGCTTGGCATAATATGTGCTTAATTTTCCCAAACTACTGAACTAGGCACTAGTCAGGGAAAGGGAAGGAGTTGTTCTGTCTTACTGGTGCTAGTAGGTAGAGATACACTGTTATCAAAAGGAGACAAATTGGGCTTCTTTGTGTGATTCTATTGGTACTTCCTCATCAACATCGCCCTGGTTTGTAGGGAAAATTGTCAATTTACTGAGCAACACTTTTATCCTTTTTGGTAGGTAATAAATTGGCACGTGGTGTGTTAGAGCATCTTCAGGAGGATTACTGGGCCCTGATTAGTACAATTTTCTGTCAGTTGTGTATTGATAGTTGAACCAATGCTCATGTACATGTTTATATCAGTTAAATAGTCATGTTCAGAAGAATATTCACCCGTGTCAGCTATCTATTCAGCAGTACTATATGATAATCAACCGCTGTTCTGTCTTCACCTTATCATTATTTACTGAAGAATTTTTGTCTAGTACCGGTTATCAGAGCAGTAACAATGTGATAATAAAATAATCAGTGACTTGCCTTTCCCTTATAATTGTTTATTTCTTTCCACAGGGTCTTGTTCCTCGGGCAAAGTTACTACTATCACTTGGCAGTACCTTCTTTCTGGCATTTGGGCCCCTGATTCTTGTCACCGTCTCTCTTTTTGCTGGTTTATATGTGGTAATCCCCTGCTAATCTCACCTTTCATGTGCTACTGCATGTTCATGGTCCATATGTGCTCTGTTCTTAATCGACTTTCTGCTTGCGTCCATTACCTGGTTGCTAATCTGTTTATATGTTTTAGCATAGTTGAACATACTCAGTTAAAATGAATACGATTTTGTATACACTGAATGGGGCAGTTGCAATGGCAACTGGGTTTCACTATGTTGGAAAATATGGAAATGAAAACCCCGTTGTTTTCAACTACTGCTATTGAGTTGTTGTTTACTCATCTAGAATATGCAGAGTAGCTCTATCTAGCTGACAGTTTTTACTGATGATCTTATATGTATGTATAGTTGAATCGACCAGAGTGTCCGCATCGTGATTGACCTGGTTTCTCGTTGCAGTACTTTGGACCGAGTTTTGTACACGATGCAAGCAAGACACCGGTGTCGCCGCCACCGTACATTGATCCATACGAGCTACTGGAGGACGAGAGGCTCAGCCGGCCCTCTCCAGATGTGTTCTGAACTTGAATAGTTCAAGAACCAGTGCAGAAGTGATTACAAGAAATAGTCATACATAGCCCAACGCTCTCCTTTTTTTTTACTAGACTTGTAGTTGTAACATGTAAATGCAACTATTGTAGACTGTTATAATCAAAATTTCAATACGCAGTGTTCCATCCATTGATTTCACGTCAAACTTGGCGCCCATGTCTCAAGTCTGAACAGACTGAAATCTTCCAAGCGCTGGCTGCAAATCATCAGTTTTTTTCCGGCACCTCCTATACAAGCAATATATAACGTGAGATTTTGTGGAGAAGGGATTAATAACCGCGTATATTTTTTCTTTTTTCCTCTAAGCGCCGGAGTCATTTTTTCACTATTTATTGAATAGATAGAGATATTCACATCCAAGATGAATGCATTACATGTTTCTGCGGCAACACTCTATTTTTATAGAAACATTTATTTTTCCACATGAGGAATTATTTGGATATCCTCTTATCTATCTCAATCCACATGTGTTAGGGTAAACTGGGGTGGAACTTACCCTAATTTACACCATAATCCACCTCAACCCATTTGGACTGAAGTGAATACGGGAGTCTCTAAACAAGCCAAAGGGATAAATTCCTACAATATTTTTGCGTACGTTTTTTTCCACATGAGAGACAAAAAAATTCCTAACTGTGCACTACAGTACGTAAGCATGCCAACGGGGATAAGATATGTCCACTTTAGGGAAGAAAATTTGGTGCAGTCCGGCTGCACCCAAGCACGGTGCAGACCCCACGGCAATGAAGCCACGTGTCCGAGTAGGCAACGATGCCCGAGTAAGGGCATGTACAACGGCGTCTTTTTCCCGTCTCTGTGATGGGCTTTTTTGCAGGAAACCCCCGGTTTAGCCGCGCCACGCGCCCCCGTCACCTCGCGAGGCGATGGCCTTCTCCCGTGCTCCGAGGCGGAAGAGACGGCGGCGGCTCCGTTGTACGGCCTCGTCTTCTAGAGGCGACGGCGTGCTCGGATCCCGCTGGTAGGGAGTCGTCGGCGCTGCAGCAGCAGAAGATTTGGGGGCTGAGTTTTTTCGCGCCCAATCCATCTCCACCCGCCATATCTCGGCCTCATCCCGGTTCCCCCAATCCGCCTCATCCCGGTTCCCCCAATCCGCCTCATCCATCTCCACCTCGCACTCTCGAGATGTCCATGTCGGCCGCAACTAGGAAGAAGAAGGCATCCACACCGTCGGCGTTGGATGCGGCGGCGGCGGCCCCAGCCCATACCCTCGGTCGCGGTGGCTTCTCGGCGTCGACGGCTCTCTCTCTCTCTCTTGGTCGTGGCGGCGGCTCACGACGGCCCGCTTCTCTCGGACATGGCGGCGGCTCGCAGAAGCAGAAGACCCGCCCAACCACGGTGGTGGTGTCGGCAAGGGTGCGGCGACGGCGCCATCCTCCATTGATGGATCCGGCGTTGGTGGCTTCCCAAAGATAGATGGATTTCCGTTCCTTCATTCACCGCCTCAAGCCTGGTTTGATGTGGCGGCAAAGTGATCCCTCTTCTCTCGTATCATGGTAATCCCTCTTCTCCGGTTTGTGATTTTTTCAATTTACAATCATTGTTTAAGATCCAGAGAAGAATAACATATATTGGATAGATCATTGTGCTATATTCGTAACTTTTTGGATAGATGATTACGCTATATACGCAACATATTGGATAGATGATTGTGCTATATTCTCGCAACATATTGGATAGATGTTTGTCTTGTGCTATATATTACGCAACTCAAAGCCAGTGGTTATTGTTTGTTTCCTGTAGGGACAAAGATCCACGTCCATCTAGTGGTTTCATGAGCTACTTCAGAAATCAGCCACACAACTTTCATTTGGTTGATGCACCTATTCACAACAGCCCTTTGAATAGACCACTGTCCACCAACAATGATGCAAGTTCACAGCCTAAAGTAGAAATACTACTTGACAATGACAATGTTAGGACCGAGAAGAGGATCCTATGGACAGAAGAAGAGGATCTTAGATTGATGAGCGCTTGGATAGAACATTCAACAGACTCTACCTGTGGAGCCGATAAGGGTGGTAACCAGTATTGGGGTGAGGTTGTTGAATCCTACAACAAGACTACCCCACCACTTCGAAAGAGAAATCTGAAGCAATGCAAGGATAGATGGCACAAGATTAATAGGTGGACGGACCTCTTTGAATGTGCTTATGTAAAGGCTCACAGAGTATTTACAAGTGGAAAAAATATTACGAGAAAATGAGGCTCGTGGTTTTCCAGGAATGTTGGGAAGCATTGATTGTATGCATTGGGCATGGAAGAATTATCCGAAAGGTTGGACAGGCATGTTCACACGTGGTGATAAAGGCGTTCCTACTATGATCCTTGAAGCGGTGGCAACTCGGGATCTTCGTATATGGCATGCTTTCTTTGGTACCGCCGGGTCTCAGAACGACATAAACGTTCTAAACAAGTCACCACTGTTCATTCAAGTAATAAAAGGGGAAGCTCATGCGGTACACTATAATGTAAATGGAACACAATATGACATGTGTTATTATCTTGCCGATAAAATATATCCAGAATGGGCAGTATTTGTGAAGACAGTGACGGCCCCTAAGTCGGCGGAAGACAAATTATTTGCATTAATGCAAGAAGGGGCGAGGAAAGATGTCGAGTGCGCATTTGGTGTGCTGCAATCACGCTTTGATATTGTTCGTCGACCAGCAAGGTTATGGAAGCAGGGGACGTTATCAACATAATGCAAGCTTGTGTTATCCTTCACAATATGATAGTGGAAGATGAGAATGATTCAATTAGAGAAGTCTTGGATTTGAATGAGAATCCAAGTGCGACGATAGTGCTCCCACCTGAAGTGCGTACAAGTGACAACCCTAATCCTACCTTCGCAGAGGTACTTCGTAGAAATTACACTATCAAAGCTCGGCCAACATATAGGAAACTCAAGAAGGATCTAATCGAGCACATATGACAACACTATGAAAACAAAGGAAATTAGATAAAAGACGCTGCATCTATATGAAATATAATTATTATATTGATGGTTTTTAAAAATATTGTAATCATGTTGCTCTTTTTATCCTTGATATATTTTCTATCAAATAGTCACATAATGGTATAAAAAATTTATTTATAGTTGATCCTAACTACATGCAAAGCATTAAACAGTTTAGAGACCGATCCCCTGTCTATGGGTTATGACCTGTCTTTATACCTGTCTATATAATAGATTCGAGGCGCTTAGACAAGAACACCTGTCTGTGGTCGTACATGCCCTAATCTGCCGTATCCCGCATGATCCGGTGACTTCCGTCTGTTGTTCACCGCTCAGTTTGGTTTCCAACGCCGCTCATCTAACCATCGGTGATCAATTCCTGGACACGTGTCTTTCATCGCAGTGGGGTCTGCACCATGCGTGGGTGCAGCCAGGCTGCACCAAGCAACACTTAGCTTCCTCTCTCCTCCGTACTACTACTTTGTCCAGGATTTATGATCGCTACTTTGTTTATCTTTTTAGTTAATTTTCTTTGCTCTGTTTTGTCTTAGATATACTCTATCTATTCTTTTTTACTCCCTCCGTCTTAAAATAAGTGATGTTTTCGATTTTTCCTAAGTTAAACCATTTC